GCCCATGGTCAGACTCAGGTGGTTGATATCATCTGTTGTGACCTTCAGTGAACTCCAGCAGATCCCTGTGAAATATGTCCTCTGTCTGCATATGTCTAGGATGACATAGCCAGATGCTTCTTCAGTTTCTCCTCTTCCCTCCACCCCACTTAACCAGTAACAGAATTGCTATAGAGGGTTATCATAGTACAAAGATGAGTCTTCGGGTGATCACAGAGATATAGCATAGTTCCACATGTGACAATTTTATGCTACTCTTGAACATGTAAGATTTCAGGCCACTTATAAATCCACTGTATTTGGTCAGTGTAGATTACTCCCAAGTAAGTGTACCCAGGTCAGATGGCATGCAGCCTTAGTTATTCCTGGGTAAGTTCAACTATGAAATCTATGAGGAGGGGGAGTGTTTGGTCTTTTAATATTTTTCTTTTTAACATTTCTTGTGAGAGCTCAGTTAAATAGATGTCCTGGTGATCTAATTTTACTTGATTATTTCAGATGGGCTTAGCCCCCTCCCTAATCTGGGGCCAAGCATGCCTCATTGTGTGTGTATGTATGCACATCTTCAAGTCACCTTTGACTTATGGTGGCCCCATGAATTTCATAGTGTTTTCTTTGGCAAGGAATACACAGAAGTGGTTTTGCCATTCCCTTCCTCTGAAATATAACCCTCAGCCTGGTCATTCCTTGGTGATGTCCCCTCCAAGTACTAAGCAGGAGTTGACCTTGCTTAGGTTCCAAGATCAGATGAGATCTGCTGCACGCAAGGTATTTAGGCATGTTGCTGTTGTTGTTTCAATCTGGGAGTCAAGGTGGCTCACAAAACTTAAAAACAGATATAGGTATTATAAGATTGACCTTGCTTAATCTGCAACAGAATAGAGGCTGAGAGCTTTACTTTCTTGGAACATTATGCTACTGAAAGTAGAATTATCCTATTGAAAGTAGGATAAAAGATCCAAACCATGTAGTGTTTTTAATGTGACAGATAATAATGTACCTTGAATTATGGCATTCGATAAACCCTCTTTTTTCGCTAACAATGAGTGAAAATGTTTTACAAGTACATAATATATGGTGTTAGTATTGAGTAGAAGATATTTCTCTATTTAAAAACCAGGATACTCAAAATGGATTCAGAGGGACTAATAAATTGGTATGGTATGTGTTAATCAATAATGTGAATGAATAACCAATGAAAAAGTGTCACTGGTCTGCCAAAGGGGAAATCATCCAAGAATGAAACCAGTGTAATAATACAAGTGCATTGTATCCTTCAGCAATTAAATGTAAAACATATTGGACTGAGTAGCAATTCCCAGTGCTAAAATGTCTGCTTCTCCAGCAGTATTAAAATAGCCATTATAATGGGGCTAAATGTATTTTTAGTGTAAAATGTTGAATTCAAGGTACTTTCATAATGACAGACCTAGTATTTGACAGGTGCTAGATATTTGAGACTGACTTTTTCATGCACTGTAAATTTAAATTACTATTGTACAAATCCTTTATAGATTTTCATATAAATTGGCATCCACTTTTTGTCCTATTGAGCTTGTGTCCAAGCATAGGTAAAACAATCTTGTTCCCATTTCTTGAATCTGTGCATTTTATCCAAACCCATTTTCCTCCTCCTCCTCTATTTATTTCATTTCATTTCTATGCTGACTTTCTCCCAGAAATGGACCCAAGGCATGTATTTTAGTAAAAGTTAATGGAGCAAAATATAACCATCCATTTTCACAAAATGCATTAGACAACATAAGAAATTAGTGGTTCCCTGTCTTGCCTTTTAATGCAGCTGAGAATCCTTATAAGGATTTGGTCTGCTATTGTTTGCCAGGACTCTTTGCCAGCTACTGGCTTTTTAAACTCATGATCTTTCCCTTTGGCTGCTCAGTTTAATTTTCCTGGAGAAGAGGTTTACGCCAAGCTGAGTAGCTCTTCACATTTATTGCCAACATGAGATGGGAGCTCATCACTGGATATTTAGTGTGTAATCCAATTCACTGTAAAAGCATCAACAGCCTTCAATGGGTTGACCAAACCTTTGTTGTTTTGTAACAGGCTGCAAAAGAAGACTGTTACTTTCTTCTCAAGTGGGAAGGGTATTCAATATTAGACAAAAGTGTAATTTGATTGGGAGTAGACATATAGCAGAGACTGAATGTCATTCTAGATGCCTGGAATAATCAAGCTGTTTTGACGACTCACATTAAGTGTCTCCTTTTTCACACACATACATTTTAATTGGTTAGTCTGTAACACAAGACACAAACATTTCAATTAGAAGTATGGTTTGGAAAAATGTGAAAACAAAAATAAATGACCAGGTTGGCTGATGGTTTTGTTTTTTTTTTCCTGTTTTGCCTGAACTTTGAATAAATGGCATTCATAGTCACTGATATCCAACTTTAAAAATGTACATGTAAAGGTTTCCCCTTGACATAAATTTCTAGTCATAACCAACTGTAGAGGTGGTGCTCATCTTCATTTCCAAGATGAGGGAGCCACCGTTGTCCGAAGATGACTCCAGTGGTCATGTGGTTAGCATGACTGCACAGAATGCTGTTACCTTCCCACCCAAGTGGTACCTGTTTGTCTACTTGCATTTGCAAGCTTTTGAACTGCTAGGTGGGCAGATGGGCACTCACTCTGTCCTGTGACCAACTTTGCCATATAGAAATGTAGCCTTGTTAGTCTGTATCAGTATGCAAAGGGATTTTGTTGTTCCTTTGAGACTAACTGAACAAAATTTGTAGCATAAGCTTTCATAGATCCAGCCTACACATCTGATGAAGTAGACTAATTAAATTTACAAAAGCTTATACCACAAACTTTCTTCTCTATTAATCTCAAAGTTGCTATGAGATTCCTTTATGTGCAAAAATAATGCAAGTTATGGCATATGTGAGACCCTACAGATATTGTTGGGTTACAAATCCCATTATTCCTTAATAGGTTATGATGACTAGATCTAGCATCTATGGGAACCACACTTTATCCATCAAATACAGCATCTTCTCCTAGCTGCTTTTGCAGTAGAAAATGTTTTGTGCATTGTTTCTCAGGGCATATTTACATCTAAATATTCATAATTGAAGTAAGTGCTGTATCACTGTGCAGCTGCCAAAACTTCAAAACCCAGATTAAGCATCTCTTGTGAAAGCAACAGGTTTAAACAAATAATTTGAATAAAATAACATAATGAATCACTAAAACAGTGAGGAAGGTATTAAGCTCATGTCTGTACCCCCCCCCCAAAAAAAAAGCAGCAGTAGTCCTGAAGCTAGAAACATTAAACATCACACTCAATTTAGATTTTGTAGTCCCAGATCAATACCAAGACAGCTAACAGGACAGAATAAAACAAATAGGCCAGTAAATTTGCATTTTCGAAGCAATGTGGGCAATGAATTTTCAGGCTCTCTAAGCTCTTGTATGGCAACAGTTCCTATTGAAAAGTTCACTGTATTCATTACTCCAATGCAAAAGGGCAAATTCAATGCTACAATTTTTTAGGAAATTGACTACACAAGATGCAGCAATATTATAAAGGAATATATACAGAGACAGGATGCAACCCTCACTGTGCTTCATTTTAAAAATGCACATGATTCTTATGGGGGAAATTTCTTGCCACTGCCACCATAGAATGATAAATTAAGTTTTCAATTTAAATTGTTAATATTCTGACAATTCCATTTCTATTCTGACAAGGATTATCAAAGGTTCATTTTCTGTCTGATCCTGCTTTGGACCCATTGCAGTACACTATTGCCTCCATGGTTTTTAGGTGCCCAGAAAGGTAGCATAACAGAACCAGCTGGAGTGGACTGGCACATCATCTAGTTGCTAATGGGCAAAACTGCTCTTTTTAATCTTTGTGACTTCTTTTCTGTATAAGCCTTGCCTCCAGAAGCAAGAGGACATAAGATCAAGTTAATATTGCAGGGGACCATACTGCTTTGAAAGCTTTACAGAGAGTGGGGAATCCATTACTGGCTATGTTTGTTGGTAAGGGTGGCAGTCCAGCAAAAAAAGGGGTGAGTTGCCTATTCCTGCCTTACAGGCATAGTTAGTAGTGTTCTTATTAGGCCAACCAAAGGTACAAAAAGTGTGCAAGCTTCCAAGATCTTTAAAAACAGCCTTTGAGATCTCCACTTAGAAATTAATGCAGCAATAGAGCATGGATTTCTCAAAACGTAGTCCTGTCAGACTAACCTTGTCTTTCTCTCTATTTTATAGATATAGTTACAAGTTTAGTAGATTGTGGAAGTAATATATCTTGATGTAAGCAGGGTTTTCTGAAAGTTTTCCTCTTGATGTTCTTGTAGACTATCTGGAAAACTATGTACTAGATAACGTACATTTTTAAAGGGTTTTTTTCAATATTTGTTTATTTATTTATTTATTTATTTATTTATTGGATTTATATCCCACCTTTCTCCCAAAATGGGATTCAATAAGCATACACAACAGCATAATGAGAATTCACATCTGATCTTTCCCCCACTTCCCTGGCAGGGTTTACTATATGCTCCTCACTTAATGGTACTGTTCAACATTTTTTCTTAATTGCATAGAAAATGTTTCTTGCTAGTAGTATCTGATTATTCACAGTTCACTGTTAGGTGGATTTGTACCTGATTCACAGATCACATCCAAAGATTCTTCAACCATGGTCCCTCATCATCCTGGAGAGAAAGAACAAATGGGATGTCACAGGATTCTGTCCTTGTCCCAAGCCCAAAGCCATCTTTATAAAAGACTTGGATGCAGGAGTAAAGGGTGTGCTCACCAAATTATCAGATGACACCAAACTGGGAAGGGTAGCTAATCCCTCAAAGAACAGAATCAAGGTTCAATATGACCTCAATAACAACAGTGCACTTAATCACTCCCTAAGCAGTTTACAATGTGTAAGCTAATTGCCACCAACAAGCTGGGTACCCATTTTAGCAACCTCGGAAGGATGCAAGCCTCGGAAGTTGAGCTTGAGCCCTTGGCTGGTATTGAACTCACAACCTCATGGTTTGTGAGTGAGTGGCTTCAATACATGCATTTAACCACTGCACCACCAGGGCTCAACATATTGGAGAATGAAGCTAGCACTAACAAAATGTATTGCAACAGGAATAAATATGAAAACAGAAAATTCAGATGTACAAATATAGGGTGGGTGACATCTGAATTGGCAGAAGTATATATGAAAAATATCTAAACATCAATAGAACACAAACATGACTCAATAGTGTGATGTGACAGCAAAAAAGATGATGCAGTTCTAATCTACAGTGATGTGTCTTGTGTGCCTTCAAGAAGTTTCCAATTTACAGCGACCCTAAAGCACAGGATTTTCTTGCCAAGTTTCTTCAGATGGCTATTGCCATCCTCTGAGGCTGAGAGGGTGTGACTTGCCCAAAATCATCTAGTAGATTTTCATGGTCGAATGGGGATTCGAACCCTGGTCTCCAACATTCATCCTACTACACCATGCTGGCTCTCTACCAGATGTATGTTGCCCAAAAACAAGGCAGACTCTAATACCATCCTGATCTGTTTTGGTGAGATTTCACCTGAAGTGTTGTATCCATTTCTGGACACCATAGTTTAAGAAGGATATCAGCAACCTGGGACATGCCAGAGGAAGGCACCTGAAATATGAAAGGGTCTAGAAACTACACAAAATATGATTGAGGGAGCTGGGGATATTTAGCTTGGAGAAGATTAAGAGATGGCATGATAGCTATCTTCAAATATTTTAAGGACTGTTTTGTGGAAGATGGGCAGGCTTGTTTTCTGCTGCTGCAGTGGATAGAATCTGAGGATGTTACAACACCAAGCCTCATTCTCACCACAATTGTGTCAATTAATAAAAATTCAAACACTGGTTTTGGAGCAGTCATTATTGCACCTCCTGTCAATTACTCAACTGGAGCTGCTTCAGCCATCACACCGTCTTCAGCACTTCCCTTTACCCTGCCTCCCTCCCCTATGCCCTACTCAGCATGCCTTTTAGGGTTGTTGTTTTTTTAAAAAAAAAAAAAGTCACTTTTTCATGCAATTCTGGAGCTCAGCTACTGCAATTTGTTTTTATTTTTTAAAGGAAATGGGGGGAAATGAATTCAGCCCACTTAAGAATAGTAAGACACTGATATCACGTGACCACCAATACTGCAGCTGCCCTGGCAGCAACATTTTGCATTTGAGAACTATCATGAGCTCATTGATAGGTCTCCCCCATCAATGAAAGGGATGCCCTAACCACATTTCAGAAGATACAGTAGCTATGGGTCAGAAGCAGCAACATGTGATAATTATTGCCAAAAATGCTTTTTTTCCTGGCTCTAATTGCCAGTTTAAAAGCCAGGTGCCATAAATCCTGAATCAGTGGATTTAAATTACAAGAAAAAAGATTTTGATTAAGCATTGAAACAAATGTCCTCACCATAATACCTACACTGTTCTGGAAACAGTACAATATACAGTTGGATCTAGGTTGCAGTGCCTGCAAACTTCTTCACCCTCTTCTCATGGCAGTCTTTGCACTCAGTCAGGCTTGTGTGTCAGTTCTTTCATTCTGAATCAGGCCCTAATAAATGTGTTTACCCAGGACAGGAAAGGTTTGTTTTTTGAGTACAGCTATAAAATGTAGGGTACAGACTAACTAATATACTAGCAAAACCTTCATAGGGTATAGCTATTAATATCATCTGATCAATATATTACTATTAGTTTCTGCTAAAATTTAAAAATGGTGAGACTATGTTGAGACTCATTTAGAAGAAATGCTTTCTGAATTGCCTCCTTACAGCCTGAACCACAATCCAGCTGAACCAAAGTACTTGAATGTAAGCCACTTTATTTATAGCAATTTTAATACAGCAACAATACTGACTCAAATCCAAACACTTCACAGATTAAAGGTGTTGTGGCAATCCAATTAGCTTCTACTAATGTTAAAAATATGAAAAGTTCTACAACACCTTAGAAACTTATTATTTATTATTTTGGACAGCCAGCTTCATCAAAATGGATTCATTCCAATTCTAGCAATGTCATTTGTGAGAATCCTAACCTAGAAACACTTGAGAGGACAAATAATCTCTTCCCTTGCTTCTCTCACCCTGCCTCTTGAAGTAAGTTACCTAGCTTATCTAAGGATTTTTATTCCGTCTTGCCCATTCCCTCAGGTGAAAGCCTACAATAACTTCCTGTATTTCTGAAGTTTAGGCTATAAGTGCCATTGCTTATGTTGTCCAAATAGCTCCATGTATTCATAGGATATTGCTATCAGAAAGCTTAGGAGAACCCTGGTATTTACAGAAGAAAAACCTTAAAGGGGGGGGGGGAGGAATAAAAATAAGTCTTTAAATAGTCCAATGATAGTTAAGTTTGCTGAATGGCCACAGAATGTTGGATCATTGTTGAAGCAACAGGCCCAAAAGCTGGATGGAATCCCCATTGGAGTACACCTATTGAATTAATTAGAAGTTCTTCATTTATGCAACTTCTTTTGGTTCATGAATAGATTTGCTCTAGTATTTGCACTGGAATACAGTGGCTGTTCGCTGAAGCCATGAACAGGGAGCACGCTACGCTACAGCATTTTGAATGGCATCTTGTTGATATTTTACACACATGTAAATTTCCATACATTTTGTTTTGTATTTTTTCAGACATGGTGTAACATCTGTATTCTGTTCAAAGTTGCATAATCAAAGTTCCATAAGTGTAACTGTTGCACATGTAGTTGTGCCTTCTTGAATGGTCATAACTAATCCTTAGTAACTTCAATGTACCACCTGATTCACTGTGATTGCTGCCATTGCAGGCACATTTCACAAATATACAGTCTGCTGGTATTGAACAGAAGGGTGGTATAGTTCAACCATCACTTAACATCAAGGGTGTCAATGTACACTATCCAAGTATTACATAAGATCTCAGCTTTTGTTACAGAAAATGCAAAATATAGCAATTTGTTTAAAAGAAGCTTTTTTCACACACAAAAATTACAAATGCTGAAAAATGTTTGCAAAATCCTTAAATTTTAAATCTTTAAAGAATAAAAGATAAAACACATTGATTGATATATTAAGGTAACAGAATTAATAACTTGGCATGCTAAATGTCTGCCAAGAAAGAAATATAATTACCATATATACTCGTGTGCAAGTCAACTCATGTATAAGTTGATGGAAGGTTTCAGGGACAAAAATATGGATTTTGATATGACCCATGGATAAGTCGAGGGTAAAACTTAGGGGGCTATAATGAAGGATGGAAAGGGGCAAACACCACTTCCATCCCTCCTTCTCCTTCTCTGGACCTCTCCTGACCACCTAACACTGACTCCCAGGTGCTGGAGAAGAGGTCTTAACATCTTGAGATTGAGGAGGGAAGCAAGCGGTGTTAAATGGGTGGTTTTCTCCATGGGAAGAGAAGGCTTACAAACCAGACTGGGAACCTCTTTCACAGAGAGAGAAAAAACAAGTGCCTCAAGGAACCAAGTGTAGGGCATCAGGCTTGCTTGTTTTACGACCTTTCTAAGCAGTACTAGTGTATTGATCCTTATATAAGTCAACCCAGGATTTTAGGGTCAATTATGGGGCATAATTTTTTTTTTACTTATAGTCGAGTATATATGGTACACAGTAATGGAAGGTTGCCAGAGTGGAAGGGAGACAAGACTTTTAACAGCACATCACAAAACTAGATGCAGCCACAAAGAAGACACTGTCCCATCTGTTAAACAAATACAAATCAAATGTTTGTTATTTTCCATTTGTGGTGAACCTGTGATGAAAGATTGGGCATCAGCTCCATCCACACTGCAGAAATAATCCAGTTTGACACCATTTTAACTGTCATGGCTCAATGCTATGGAGTTCTGGGAATAGTAGTTGATTATGGCATCAGAGTGAAGCGGAAATGTCATAAAAGATTCTGTGATGATGGTATACCACTTGGAATATGAAACAGCATTAACAAGCATGGTGGGAACATGTGTCCCCTTGTCTGAAAAAAGATTGCAAACTGTCCCCATTTGATTTGCACATTATTTTTGTGAACATCTCCTGTAAATCAAAGTCTAATTACTCATTTATAAACCAGACCTTGAATGTCATGAACTATACATAATGCAGGCATCTGAATAAGGTTTTTTAAAAATGAGAGCATAATGAAATTACATTTTAAACAACAAAACACATGAGGATGAAGTTATGTGTGGTATAACAGGCAACATTAGCTAGTTACTTTAAAGTTAGCATTAAAAGCCATTATTATAGGGATTTTTCAAGTTTTATGTTTTTCCCTTCTCAATCCTCCACCCAGAAAAGCAACACATAATTTTTAATCACTATATCAAATAATGGGAACAAATTATTTTTACTAAATAACTTTCTAAGCTCTACTGTGAGCAGCATGTTTAAACCGAAGTCAGATATTTTTGACATGATAGCCATCATACTCTGAGAGAAGGTTGATCTAAGGATGCCTCCCACAGGTGTACTACCAGCGCTTCCCACTTGGATCTGTACCAACTTGGATGCAAATTTACAGGTGCAGGAAGAATCCAGATTGTGTCTCCATCTCTCTTGGCATGCCAGGATTTGCTTGTTTTACTCAGCAGTCCTTCTGGATTCAACATGGACAGTCGATGTCTGTCATCATATAACCATATTCTATAGAGAAATATTCAGATATGACATCAGTGGGAGTTGTTAGACGCTTACAGTCATCAAATCCAGCTATTTATTTATGTGTGTTTACATGCATTAAGGACTTTACATGGGCTTAAAAGGGGGAGATGTTCTTCAGAATCATTATTTCAGTAAGTTCATTCATTTGTCAACACAACTGAAAAAATATTGAGATGAAAGTCAAGGAAAAGGAAATCAGATTTTAGATATGAGATTTTTTTAGTGTGTTTAAAGCTTCTTTTTCAAAATAACATTTTCTGTTGAAGGGAAATTGAAATCACATAAATGATAGGATTCCCATCTGGAGTGAAAACAACATGATGTTATCAATAGATAAAGAGTTTGGGAATAATAAGACAAAAGAGTGTCTGAACAAT